CATTATTATTATTATTATTAAGAGTGTGTTGAATGCGGTTTTTGCCGTGTTAAGTGACATGCGTGACAGCAGCATTAGCTAATCTTCATCTAGGTCATTCATTGGAATTGTGGGTAATGTGATTCGATGACTTACTCAAGCAGATAAATACAGCTTCGTTTTGACTCCGTTATGAAGTATAACATACAATGTCGGAAATGGTTATTTCCTGTCCTGATTCCCATGAGTGGTTTGGTGTGGTACCATCAGTGTTTTGTGACAGTGAATGTGGCTCACCGTGACTCACCCCGCTAAGAAGTATGAATATATTGTGTTAATATATTCATATATTGTGTGCATCATATGGCGAACAAGTTAAAAAAGTTTTTAAAATAATAATAATAATAATTGTTATGTATTTATTTATTTATGGCAAACAAAAGTTATCTTTTTCAAATATTACAAATATTTTACCAAAACTGCTTTTATTATAAATAATAATAATGATGATGATGTTAAATTTTTAATAAGTTTTGTTTTGTTTTTATTCAGCATTATATCAGTGTAGGGCATTTTTACATTATGCTGGCCAAAATATCAAAATTCATTTTAGTTTAGAAACTTGCTCATTATAGCAGAGGTGTATTCAAGTCATTTTACAGTGACCTATGTGTGAATTTAATTTCAAAAACTGAATCATAGTCAAACCCCTATACAGTATATCTGCACAACTGTTGAGTCTTGTGTAAATCTAGCTCCTGGTGAATCAGACCTCAAACAGTCATTTTGGGTTAAATACACATTAACTTAATTATTAAAGTATCAAAAAGACTGAGGCCTTCAATCCACTACACACCCCAAACACACACCCAAAACTCCACTCAAGTTCATTTTAAGTTCTTCATTGTATTTTTTTCAGTTTCCCATCTATTTTCAGAACCGATCAAGATAACGTGTTCAATTTGCATAATCTACTTGCCACACTTTACAAATCCCTCGGGCTAACATCCCACTCCTGTCAATTCACCGGTTTTACAAACGACACTAGCAGCAGCAGGCCTTCATCACATTACAGTCCGAGCTCAAACTGAAAATGCGTGCGCGGTCTTTAGAGGCTAAAACGACACGGCACGACAAACCCACGATGTCTCTTCAGCGCTCATCCTCAGAAGCACTTGATATTTCATTATAAACATATTCAGAGCTTCGGGAAGGTTGAAGACTGGGATATCGTGGGAACGAGCAGATGCGGTAATCAAGAGATGTGTGGTTCGCTATCTTGTGAATGAAAATGACTAAATGCAATGAGCGATAGCGTGGCTCAGTACGCCTATTACTGTTAGCTGTTGATAAAACATTCCCAAAGACGTTTATATCATGTTCAAAATAATTTTTGACATCTTCTACGATATGTATTACCGAAGTGGTTAAGAAAACTGTAAGCCTACCTTAACCCTCATTCTTGATCTTGTTTGTCTTGTATTAAATCTAAGGATGCTGCTATTCTCAATAGACATGCTCATCCATGAAGCTCTCAAAGACTCAAATCTTTTATGCAGCTCACATAATCAGTTTGGCTGAACTGATAAACTGTAATGAGAATATTTATGGTTCATTTTCTTTCCATGGGTGAAATGTATTCATTTGGATGAAATTAAATCATTTCATGCATGTAAGCAGGAAACAAAACATCTTTTTATGACTTTTACCCTAAGGACTAAGAATTTCAAGCTCCAAAATGAAAAACAAAAAGCAATATAAAGTAGTCCACATGACTTGCGCTATAAACATGCTATATTCTAAGTGTTTTGAAGCTATTCAAAAACTTTGTGTGAAAAAAATCAGACCAAAATTAACATTATTATTGACCAAATCATTTTGTGAATCTGTATTTTTCAGTGAATCTGTTTATGCATTACACAAAACTGAATGATTCATTAACAAATCCAGTTATTAAGTATATATTCAAAAGAGAATCATTAAAGAAAACTTTGTATTCTAAGTCTTTTGAAGGTACAAAAAACCTTGTGTGAAAGAACAGACCAAAATTAATGTAAAATGTTGACTGAATCTGTCTTTTTCTGTGAATCAGTTTATGCAGTTCACAAAACTGAATGATTAATGAATGAATCAGATTTATGAGTATATTCCAAGTCTTTTAAAGCTATACAGAAACTTTGTGCAAAAGAAAAGGCCAAAATTAAGGTCATTAATCACAGAAAATCTTGACCAAATAATTTTTAATCTGTACTTTTCAGTGAATCAGTTTATGGATTTCACAAAATCGAATGAATCGGTGAGTCTTGTTTTTAAGTATATTCCAAGTCTTTTGAAGTTATACAAAAACTTTGTTTGAAAGATCAGACTGAAAGAACCAAATTAATGTCATTACTCACAGAAAAATTCTTGACTGAATTGTTTTTGGAATCTGCATTTGTCATTTAATCATTTTATGCAGTTCACAAACCTAAATTATTCTTTAACGAATCTGCTTCTTGCAGATTCAACTCACTGAATTAGTCATCCAGTCCCAGTAGTTAATAGCTAACTGAATTAAATTTAGATCAATTCTAATTTAAATCACACTTTGCCTTCCACAGAAGAAAGACATAGGTTTTGCATGACATTAGGGTTAGTAAATGATCTTCATGAATTTTAATTTTTGGACGAACTAAGCTTTTAATTTTAGATCCTAAATTATATTTTTTTTTTCATGAAAATGGAATAACCTGACCTTTTTTTTTCTCCAATATTTTCATAATTACCATTTTCACATTGATGTTGGCCAGATTCTTCCTAATCATGGGTTTGTTTCAGCATGTGGCAAAGTGTTTAATTAATTTGCTTGGCTGGGTTTTCCTGAGCGAGACATTTTGCCAGACTGTCCCACAGGCTTCTGTGCTTATGACGTGTATAACAGATCATCAAACAAACATGATTCACATCCATTAATGTTTCATCTAGGTCATTCATTGGAATTGTGGGTAATGTGATTCGATGACTTACTCAAGCAGATAAATACAGCTTCGTTTTGACTCCGTTATGAAGTATAACATACAATGTCGGAAATGGTTATTTCCTGTCCTGATTCCCATGAGTGGTTTGGTGTGGTACCATCAGTGTTTTGTGACAGTGAATGTGGCTCACCGTGACTCACCCCGCTTGGACTGGACATTGTGATGAGCGACACCGATGGCTGATCTACAGTGCCTTCATATGCACACTATCGGGCTTGCTTGGTTTTGCGCAGTAAAGCCTGCTGGGGCCTGATTGCTCTGAGAGGCAGTGGCCTGTAAACGCAGACGACCACAGGGAGGGTAGCTCCCGTGAAAGACAATCTGCCGTTCATCAGTTAGTCAGAGATGTGGGGTTCAGCTTGTTCACAAACATACGGCGGTGCTCTTTTGCTGTGACATCTGCAGCCGTTTATGATGAGTTGCAGCATTTACCCTTTAAATCGTTCTCACTGACAATTTGTTGCTTGTATTCTCTTCAGAAACCGATTGTTCTGTGATTTACAGTTAAACGTCTTTTTATAGACAAGAATAATATCGTTCTTAACTCCATGGGACATTTATTGCTGTATGTTGTCGAAGCCATGCAGGAAAACACAATTTCCTAACAGAGAGTTGAGATTAGCATAACCACATTAGCAGCTGTTGGTATATGCAGACATAGATATACATACATAGATGCCTCATTAGCAGCTGTTTCTATGGGCGGCTATATGTACGTTGTCCATCATTCTGGAATGGTCAAAGACTGTGAAATATATATATCTGCAAAAGACTTTGCTAAACTAACACAATACAACAAAACAAAGTCGTTAGCTAATGCGACATTAAAAAGTTACCACTTTATAATCCTGTATTATTGAGTTAATACATATTAAAAACACAAACCAACACATTCTTACCTGTGAGAGTTTATCCGAAGACTGACATGGAAGAGAAGAAATTGTTGAATAAAGTTGTTACTTTTGTTTTCTTTGCACACAAAAAGTATTCTCGTAGCTTCATAAAATTATGGTTGAACAACTGATGTCATATGGACTATTTTAATGAAGTTCTTACTACCTTTCTGGTCCTTGAATGTGTCATGTTGTGTTGCGGTCTATGCAGGGTCAGAAAGCTGTCAGATTTCATCAAAAATATCTTAATTTGTGTTCCGAAGATGAACGAAGGTTTTACGGGATTGGAACGACATGAGGTTATAATTAATGACCAAATTTTTATTTTTGGTTGAACTATCCCTTTAAATAACTTCATTTTCTTTGACTTAAACACCACTGTGAGAGTTTATCCGAAGACTGACATGGAAGAGAAGAAATTGTTGAATAAAGTTGTTACTTTTGTTTTCTTTGCACACAAAAAGTATTCTCGTAGCTTCATAAAATGGAGTTGTTATGGTTGAACAACTGATGTCATATGGACTATTTTAATGAAGTTCTTACTACCTTTCTGGTCCTTGAATGTGTCATGTTGTGTTGCGGTCTATGCAGGGTCAGAAAGCTGTCAGATTTCATCAAAAATATCTTAATTTGTGTTCCGAAGATGAACGAAGGTTTTACGGGATTGGAACGACATGAGGTTATAATTAATGACCAAATTTTTATTTTTGGTTGAACTATCCCTTTAAATAACTTCATTTTCTTTGACTTAAACACCACAACCAAGCTAACTGCCTTTGAGATGAATGCTAATAGCTAGCTCTCTTCGGGTATTATCAACCTAACCAAATAACAGCTAGCTCTCTCAGATGTTATAAATGTATGTAACCAAAGTGACACCCTAGAGCAGGGATCCTCAAATCTGGCCCACGAGATTTACTTTCCTGCAGAGTTTAGCTCTAACCCTAATCAAACACACCTGAGCAAGCTAATCAATGTCTTCAGGATCATTAGAAAATCACAGGTAGGTGAGTTTGATCAGGGTTGGAGCTAAACTCTGCAGCGCATTGGCCCTCCAGGGCAAGATTTGAGGAACACTGCCGTACCATTCGTCATTTTAGCTTTCTTTTGTATGCAGGTTCAGTCAGTGCTACCTTTTTCCATTTTGCTAACATTTCAAGATATCAATTTCAGTAATATCCATCAGGTAAGTTATAGTAGTACATTTTAACAGTACTGTACATTGGACCATGTTTTTTTTGAGAAGTCATATTTTTGTGGACTTATGTTATAGACGCTATCTTAAAATGTAAATGGATACAAGACATCCTTAAATATAATTAGTTTTACTTTTATCGCAATAGTTTAAGTTATAAGTTAAGTAAAAGTAGCAAAGTTTACAACACACTCTATCTCTTCAAAACCCCCACTCTCTGAACCTGAAAAAAAAATCACTTTCACAATCTTTAATTACTAGAAACTGTCTGATAGTCGACACAGATACTAAAGCTTGACACTTCCTACAGCTCAATACATTTGCCTCGGTTCATTTATCTGGAGATAAATGAAATAACTGGGAGAGTGTCTGCAGTGACCAAAACCAATGTCAGGCTCAGACAATAAATGTCTACAAAACTAAATCTACGGACAGGCTATCTCCTCTAACTTTCGCTGGCACTATCGCACTCTTTATCTTTCCTGCATTGGTCTGAGTGTATACTTTCAAAGGTAAATTATTACCAACAAATATTTTTGATTTAAGATTTAAATCTTTCTGAGTTAAAGTTATGCTGTGCAACTTTTTGCACTGAAAAAGAGCATTATTTCTTGTGTTGTATGAAAACAGTTACATTTTTTAGTGGATTTGATTAGAAGTTACATCGACAAATGACTGTCTAATGAATCATTGAATCATTCATTGAACTGATTCATTAAAAATTTTTTTGGACAGAAACAATTTATGGCACTGTTTACACTAGTGCTTTTTCATTTTAAAACGCTGATTCTCGTCTACACTGCGTTTCAGAAACTCTCTCAGGCCACACTACACAACGAAAACGCATGTCACATGACCATTCATGCAGGTACAACCATAGATATGTATAGGTAGATTCCATATTGTTTAGATGGTAGACACATCTACGTGCTTGGAGCGGTAGAAAAGGGAATCTACCTATACATATCTATGGGTACAACAATGAGCGTAATGTTATTATTTACACGGTCGTCAAGGATACGCAAAGCAAATGTGGGCAGCCACGACATCGTTTTCAAAAGTCTCCGTTTTGGTCCGTTTACACTAAAACACAACCCTGAAGTTTTCAAACTAAAACGGGGTCTGCAGCGTTGTCAAAAGTCTCCATTTTTGAGGGTCGAAAACGCCGGAGTAGTGTAAACGACAGGCGTAACTGAAGCGAAAGTTATGCGTTTTAAAACGAAAACACACTAGTGTAAACGTAGCCTATGAGGTAAACTTTGAATCATTCTCTACACTGATTTGTTCAGAAAGCAGGTGACTGATTTAAGCGAATCATTCTCTGACACTGAACTGATTGATTCGTTCAAAAACGCCGAAGACTTCTTTTTTTGTCTGTCTGCAGAACAAAAAGACACATAACTGGCAACATTGAGTCTAAAGTGTAAGTTACTCAGTATTTATTGTACTTATTGGAGTTTTGTGTAAATTATTGCTTGATGAACATTGTTTGCATTAAGCGGAAAGTTTGGCTAAGCTACTCTTTTGTTGTTATTTGTAAAACACTTCAGCTACTTTTCATTATCTTGTTATTTTCAGAAACTCGCTGTGCTCATCTTCCTATCTCAACCCAAGCTCTACAGCACTATTTTAATTTTGTTAAAGTAATTAATAAATGAAGTTGAAAGCTATCATTCACAGAGGGGTTGCCATTGCATTTATGAGGGTTTAACCCTCAATTGTCATTGGGGACAAATTTGGGCAAAATCCCTTTGTTTTTGTTTAAAAAAAAAAAAATTTTTTTCTTAATCTGAGCGGTTCAAGACTTGGCTACTTTTCGTAAGTTTGCCACCTGAACACACACACACACACACACACACAAACACAAACACAAACAAAAACAAACAAACAAAAGAAAAGAGGACTCGATTCAACAAAGTTAAGTGGTTGAAAAAAAAAAATGAAAAAAAATAAACTCTTAATTTGTCATTCATGGGTACCCATAGGAAATGAATGGGAAATACTAAAATTCAAAGAATTTTTTTTATTTGTCCAACAAAAATCTATAAATCTAACACAATGCAGATCATACATACACATGAGTCTATACAACATTCTCAATGTGGCAAACACTAACACACACACATGCACAAACCTATATACAAAGCATTGAATGGGCCTATAACACAGCAAGTTTTAAATTTTTAATTTTGTCAAATAAAAACAGTCACTCACACATACAAAACAAAAGAATTGAATGAGCCAATGACTGAGCTTTTTTTGTGCCACTCACACACATGCACACTTCAAATTCAGATCAAAGTCCTGCTGCAAGATTTGTTTATGAAAATGTAAAAAAAAAAAATGTCTGAAACATGCTACTTGTTAGATTTTTTTGTTTATTCTTACTTGTTTGGCACCATTTGGTTCCATTTTACTTTTTTGAGTTATTGAAATTTGATGTTTTTTGTTTGTCTCCTACGTTGTCTTTTCCTTATAGAATTTTTTTTTTATTCTACACTTTTTATTTGTGATAAAATCTAAAACTTAAGAGGTTAAGTTCATTACATCAATGGTTTATTGATTTCAGCCTATATGCAGCCACTGAGTACTACAGCCATATAGTGGCTATTGATATTTTTGATATTTTGATATTTTTATACCATCATATGTCACCAGATGTAACCAAACTCACCAAAATTTTAAGTTTTGGCTGTCTGAACTTACTGGAATTATTATTTTTTTTTTACTGAAGTATAAGAAATATTAAATATAACTTAAAAATAAGCATATTTTACGTAAAAAAAAGTCTGGTACTTTTAGAGGTAAATAAATAAAAAAAACACCAAAAATCACAAAAAACTGCATAAATTGATAGTTTTTATTTTATCGAAGACAGTGAAATGACATTTATTTATAAAAAAACAAAAAACAAAAAAACAAATTCGGATCACAGCTGAGACCTTCGTGCCCAAATTTGTCTACGAAGGACAAATTAAGGGCTGTTATACGAAGGATGCTTGAGGGTTAAGTAAAGGATAAAGATAAAGAGCACGCTATAAATGTACACACTGTATCAGGAAGCAAAGTGTGTAATTAGTGTTAACTACAGGAGATGCAAAGAGGACAGACTGGACTGAATGTTTCCAGTGCTACAATGCATTGTTAATGGCAGAGAATATTTGTGTCCTTTATATTGTCATTTGCATAGGACATAGCTTATATAAATTTTGGATTTGCTTGTCTTTAATTAGCAGTTTAGTAATAGACTATTATATTGCACAGACTGATTAACGGTCCAACATTGTGTAAAACATGCATTTACACAACAAATATATACAATTGTTGTATATCTTTATCAACATTATATTGACTGTCAGCCTTGTGCACTATATGTACATCTGTTGATGTCAAGGTGTCGAGGCGGTTTTTTTTTATAAGCTATTACTGGTTTATTGACTGTGGAAGGTGAACGGGGCCAAAAGTCTTTAAATGGAGTGAGTGAAATTTGACCGTGTCAATGGTCACTATTTGTCCACATTAACGTGTCAATTTTGAATGCATTTCTTTTTATTTGTGGAGACCCGCACATTGTGGCCATGTTAAAGTGTTAATTTTCGCAGCGTTTCTGTAGTTCGTGTAAAGATGCACGGTTTCACCATGTTATGACAACAAATTTGAAAGTGTCTCATTCTGGCCATGTTCAAACATGTAATACATTATAAAGCAGAGTCACGTCTAGATTTACCCACATATTAATCCTTTCTTTAATTAATTGTGGCATTGCTTTACAGATATCTATTGTGCTAAGTAAATTAATGAATGTTACAATGTAAATTGTAGACTTTTCTATCTGAGAAAGAACATTGAACTAAACAATTAAAAAGGACATGACAAATCATGACATAAGATTGATATCACACACAATTACCTACTACGCATTTTCCTTAATGTACAAATATAATGGGTCCTATTTTAATGATCTAAGCGCATGGTCTAAAGCACACGGCGCAATTGTGCTTTGGGCATGTCCGAATCCACTTTTGCTAGTTTAAGACAGGAAAAATGGTCAGCGCGCCCGGTGCATGGTCTAAAAGGGTTGTCCCTATTCTTTTAATGAGTAATGGTTGTGTTTTGGGCGTAACGTGCCATAAACCAATCAGAGTCTCATCTTCCATTCCCTTAAAAACCAGTTGCGCTCGCGCCAATAAAATTTTTCATTTTTAAAAATGTTTGTGTGCTGCTGCGCGTCCCTGTGTGTGTAATAAGCAAAGTGTACGCATGTTGTGCACCCGTCTATAGGCGCATATTACTAACGCGCTCTTTAAATAACAAAAAAATATATATATTTTTGCGTCACATTGCGCCAGGGTGTATGATAGGGTCCCATGTCTGATGTTTACGTACATGTATACCAGTGTGCCATTAGGACATCCGTCATGAATAAACATGGCCTCTGATGTGTTATATACATATATACCAGCGTACCTTTGCGTCACATATGCAAATATAGTCTCAAATACAGCAATTTCATTGGCTGCTGTGTGTGTTGTTACATTAACCTGGACAAACAGTGTTGACAATGTCAAATTTAACTCTTTCTGTTTAATGACTTTTGGCCCCATCTGCTGTCCATAATATGTACATATGTGCATCTGTTTATGTCAAGGAGTCGAGGCACTGTTTTTTATATGTCTGGCTTATTGATTTGTGTGTAAACCCTTAAAACCGTTTTTTATAATAAAGCAGTTTTTATAGACTGAAATATTTCTAGATATTTGGGAATTTTGAGATTCTAACGTACTGCTGCTTGGTCATTTGACAAAAGTGTTTTAGTTCTGCCTTGTGTCCATTACTATATGTACCAACAGCCTAAATCAGGCCCGGATTGGCTAATCGGGAGCATTGGGAGAATTCCCGGTGGGCCGGTCTGTATTTTTGGCCACGAGGGCGGGTGTTGTCATGCCACTGGGTTGAAATATGGATGCTTTCTGCCTGCACTCATAGCAGCCCCACTCTTTTATTTATTATTTTCTTGCAGCCCATATTATTATTGTCAGTACCGGTACCTTCTCCGACTCCTTTCTGCCACTCATCTGTGCACTGTCGTTGTCATTTGCACGTGGTGGTTGTTTTGGTCCTGTCATTTTCATCCACACGTGGTGGAGCAATCAGCACTCACTCGCGGTGCTGCGCGCTCTATTAGCCCGCACCTGGTACTCGTTCCCACTTCCTATATATTCCTGTCTTTGTCTTCTTTAGGCGTGGGTATGTCTTATGTGTTTTTGTGCCGTATGGGCGCGTTATGAGTTTTCACTCTCCTCTATACTCTCTGCACTATTAATATTTCGGTTGTGGACAGTGAGACCGGATTGGGAGTACGACACTGGACGTTTCCAGTATTCCTCTCAGCCCTCTGTCTTGGTGAATGTGTGCGCAGGGAGCGCCACACCACTGCATTACCCGGACTTTGGTGTTTCACGCCTTTGCTGGCTTGGTGTTGTAGCGTCTGGACCAATCAAACACACAATTTTTCATTTGATTTAACAAATCAGTTATTCATTAGATTAACAAATCGTCGATCAGCCCGCAGGCGGGTCACGCGGCCGCTGCGTCGGTTGAGGAAGGGGCACCCGCGCGACGCCGATCCGAGCCACGCCTTAATCCTCCGGCTCCACTTCATGCCGTTCCTTCTTATCACAATGCTCCCTGACCTTCTCACTACAGCCTTCCTGTTTCCCCACTGAGAGTTCCAAGGTCGCATTTGTGATAATGCATCTGGCTGGGGTGGCTAGAGAATGGGGAACGGCTATGTGGGACAATGGGAGCGAATGCTGCAGTTCCTACACTCGTTTTTCCCAGGAGCTACGGAAGGTCTTTGACCGGTCGGCTCTGGGTAACGAAGCGGCACGAGCACTCTCTCTGCTGCGTCAAGGAACCAGGCCAGTACCGGATTATGCCATCGAGTTCCGCACACTCGCCTCATCTAGTGGCTGGAACGACAAGGCATTGTGGGACCATTTCCTCCACGGACTGGCGGAAGGCATCAAGGATGAGATATACTCCCTGGAGCTGCCCACTACACTCGATGGGCTGGTCGAACTTGCCACTCGGGTTGATTTCCGCCTGGCACTTAGAGCTCAACACCTCCATATGGAGACCGGGCACGAGAGCTCTGATCGCTCACCCGGCGCTAGGAGCGTCACACCGCCACTACTCGGGTTCTCTGAGGAGGAACCGATGCAGATCGGCCGCGCTCACCTCACTGCCCGGGAACGCCGCCATCGGATTGCCAACGGGTTGTGTCTCTACTGTGGGGGGGGGGGGCATGTCGTCACAGTCTGCCCTCACAGGAAGCAATCCCCCTCTGGAGAATGGTCGCGCAGGGTAAGCGTGACCACGGCTCTGCTGCCCTCTGGCGGCCGCACTACTTTCCAGGCCATTCTTCAGTCGGGGGGGGGGTTAACCACCCTGTTGTAACTCTTATTGACTCTGGAGCGGAGGGGAACTTTATGGATATCGATTTGGCCAGGAGCTGGAGGGTTCCAGTTTTTCCCTTAGCCGAAGCTATCTCCGCCAGTACACTTTGTGGAACTCCGCTCACCAGGATCACATCTGTCACTGGAGTCGTTCACTTGACCACGTC